TCTGTCTGTCTGTCTCTCTGTCTCTCTCTCTGTCTCTCTCTCTGTCTCTCTGTCTCTCTGTCTCTCTGTCTCTCTCTCTCTCTCTCTCTCTCATCTACCTTCATGTAGACTCTACACACTCATCAACACATAGACACATGTAAAGAGTACTGTAGCTTTATCCCTCTTCCCCATCTTCCAAACAACAAACAACATCCCTACTTGACTCCCCGTTCTCTTTTTTCTCCCTCCTATCTTTATTTTTCCTAATCACTGCCGTACCAACAGGACAGCTCCGACGCCATGCTGAGAGAGGGATACAAAATTCCAGCAGGAAGATCGAGGTACTCGATAACATTTCTTCCTACACTGGAATCGAACTTGGGCCTCCTGTGTACGACTGTTAAGCGCTTGATCCCTACACCACAGAAGCCAGTCATAGAAAGCCAGACAAGACAGCGAAAGGGTTAAAGGTAGCGACTCTTTGAGCAGAATGTCTAATCGCGCCAAGAACTATTGTGAAATGGAAGTACAATATACACGTTTTATGTAAAAAGAAGCTCACTGACACAATAACGGTCATAATATATATTATAATGCAGGAAAGAAGCAAGACAGAAAGAGTAGAAGGAAAGAAAAGAAGTAAAATCTGCCTACCTACCTGTGACACCCTCCAACCACCTGCTAATATAATAGATGTCCCAAGAGGTGACGATACAACAGAGGGATGAGAGAGAATGAGGGAGAGGCCTTTAAGACGGGTTAGAGCGTATCCTCATTCTCTCACAGACAAAGGACATGCGGAAATACTTCAATGGGCACGGGGGGAAATTTGAGACTGTCTTACGGAACTCTCACAAAGAGGCGATATTGAGACGACGTCGCTGGAAAAATTCTTCACGTTGGAGGCCTATGATGAGGGAGGGGAAGAGGGGAATAACCCAAAGGACTTCCGCTGTCTTTGGCAAGAGTTTTACGACGCTCGCAACTGCATACGGTCAAAATCTGAGCGTGCGGGACACATTACCTTTTTCCAGTTGGAAGGAAATTTTGAATTTTGCCCGGGTGGCGGCCGAAGCCTACTCTTATCGATTTTGAAAAACCAAGGAATTTTTAACCGGCGCAACTTGCACACGGGAACTCCCGAGATTTTTCGCCCTCGGCCGAGAAGGCTATGTGTAGATCTTTCTTACCTGAAGATCAGGGGTGTGGCAGAAAGACAACAGTAAGGAGTTAAGGAGTAGTAGAAGAAAGGCTGCAGAATCAGGTGCACAGAGGAGGGGACAAAGGGGGTGAGGGGGTGGGGCAGAAAGTGGAGACGAAAGCAGACGACGGAACACTTTTAGAGATCTTGAAAGGATGTGAAACGAGAAAATTTTAGAGAAGAAAATTTTACGTCGCTATCTAGATTCGAACCCGGAGCCTATTGAATGAGAGGCAAACACCTTAACCTCTAGACCACGAGAGCCCATTCCGTTGTCTGAAGTCTGAAGGTGTTGTTAGAACTCAGATACGACTATTAGACTATGTACTAGTATGTGTTATTATATGTTAGAAAAGTGTGTGGCAGAGTAATGATAGAACCACAAGCCCAGTACCGTAGAGTTTGTTTTTTTCTTTTGTAAAGTGTTTTACGGCGCTGGCAACTGCATAAGGTCATATGAGCGCGCGGGACACACCTAATATTTTCAGTTGGTAGGAAATTTTGAATTTTACCCACGAGGCGGCCGAAGCCTA